TTGAAATCAATCCAGCCAGCCTAAGGTGGTTTGAAACATTAAAATCTAATAGAAGCTCTCACGGACCTCAGCGATGCTGTGATAACCATGAAACCGAGCATAATCCTGAAATGACCTTCTGAATAGTGGAAAAGAAAGTTGAAAATTTTCGTTTATTACACGAGTTTCCAACCCTTTTTTAGAAAGCAGTCCCATCTAGAAGAAAACATACTAAGTGCATTAGGAACCTACCACTTCGGCTCACTGCCCACCATCTTCAGCACGAACAGCGCCATGCGCTCGTGGAGATCGCATTTTTCGACGGCTGCCGCCATGATCAGACCACCAATGAACAGGAAGTTCGTATTCTAAATGGATAAAATCTATAATTGTTAATTTAACTGTTAATAAATGAGCAGTCAAAGTTGTAAGTGCACTTGTATGAATCTCTGGTCGAGTGAGTTTCTAGACATGCAATTTCGTAATAAATACCAGCTTCCGAATTCATAAGGGGCGCGTAGCGCAGTGATTGGAAGTGCTCTGCAATACAAATAGAATTGATTACCGAGCCTCAGGCCTGCCAAGCTTTCCAACCCTCCGAGGTCGGCAATTGGTACTGGACTTGTCTAGGAGGATAGCAGCATTAGCTCTATGCATTGCTAGGCAATGGCGAGTTATTCTAAACGCCAGACATGCATTCAATCACCTCCAACAACGCTTAGTAAAGTCGAATGCATGGCGCATTCCTCAGGGATTGATCAACGCCGACAGTTTTATCCTTTATCCTTCCATAGAATTTATTGTCATGTCATCCCACTACTTCTAATCGAGTAGTAATATCGTTGCCGAATTCCGAAATTATTACTTTTAGGTTAGATTAATAAGGATATTTGTCAGCTTTGGGAGGGACGGAATGGGATACCATGGCTTCGTAGAGCTTCCATGATTGCTTCTGCTATGTCGTAGGCTTTTTGTGATGTCGATGAAAGTGAAACAAGGCAGTCTCTTTGATCTGCACGATGCTCTGAGAGTTTCATCGTCGTGTGGACGTGGTCTATCACAGTGGATCGTTTTCGAAGCCCTACTTGCTCGTATGGCTCTCTTTTGCCCACTATTCTTTCGATCACTATTTATGGTTACTAAGGTGGAAAGCTGGCAGAAGCAAGACACCAAGCAAACTGGACACAGTTGCCGACGTCGAAATCATCCCACGTTATCGTCCTGTAGTCGCCGAACAATTTCCAATCAGTGCTACCCCTGGTTAGCTCTTTTTTAATGCAGACATAAATTTTGGAACGTACAGAAGTTAATTGACAAAGTTCCACCACCGCCTATAAACTTACATAAGATATCATTCCGTGGCAGGAATTATATGCTCAAGTTATTGGTACGTCTTTTTCTTCCGTGGTAAGTTTTTTTCTTCTGACCGATGCTTTCGAAAAGAAAAGAGATTGGATTTTTTAATATACACTATATATTGCAATCGCCTGGTTACTTTTAAGTAAATATCTAATCAAACATATAAAAAATACATGGATTAAAAAGAAGTAAAAGCAAAATTATATATTTTTAAAGTTAGCTCTTGAGAAAGATTCGTAGATAAGTTGCCTCATGCTCTTTGGAAAGTGCTTGTCGTTTACAGACTTTCATGCAAATGAGACAAACCAACTTCGCCTACAGTAACCGTTCTTGTTCTTGACTTCTTGCCCTTGGTTTTGAGTTGTTCCAATTGAAGAGTTTAGTTTATAATCTCAGTTTATAATGTGAATCGTTCTTCTTTCTTGAGGCCTTCGTCATGTTCAAAGATAAGTTCTCGCTTTCTCACCTTTCGATTTGATTCCCACAAATTTGCAAATTTATGGAAAATGCTACTATTGTGAGGTAACTGAACTTGCGACGGAAAAATCTGGTTACAAAGTGCTGTCCTACCGAAAACGCCACACCACATCACATCATGTCATGAATTTTCAACGAGTTAAGTTTTTTCGAATCTGCTGAGGAATACGAATAAGAACAAAAATATGTGTATGAAATGGAAGCGAGTGAACAACTGGATAAGAACAGCTTTCTCACATTGATAAATTGTTGAGCAACAGCATGTGATGTCATCACACCAGTTGAAGGGAAGAGAATCACTGGAAGCAAAGCAGTCACGGGCAACGGTAGCACCTCCGTCATCCAGTACACTGCCATCACACAAACACAGAACGCACAACGCCATTCCTTTAAGTGCAATAGAGCTTCAGTTCTGCGCGAAATGGGAAATTAGCGAATTTGAAAAAAACTATGACTTGTATTAATTCTCAAGATCGATTTTCTGTTAAACTCGGTATTGATCAAATAAAACTATATTCTTCAATGGTAAGGACGAAGTGCCACTTTACTCTTTATTAACGATAATGTCGACGTTTAGGCCGATTTAGCCTTTTTCAAAGCAGGAAAAAGTCGATTTGACTACAATCTATCAGGCCGAACACCCCATGACCAAGCAGGAAATTACTAAACCATGATTTCAATAGAACTGAAAACAAAGTAGCTTCTTCGCAAGCCGCTTTCTATAAGCGTTCTACTAAATATTTCACGACGATACCAACGCCACAGAGTGCACATGGAAGCGTACTAGTGTTCCTCTCTCACATTAAAATGCCAGTCATAAATACTGTGCGAGATCAGACGTGATAACTAGGCATTATTCACTGGTTCATTTTCGGTTCATGTAATTTACCCAGAATGCTTTAAGAGTTTTATCCGCCAAAATTTTAGATTCCTGTAATGGCAATTCTACTTCAAAATCTTTCCCTTTATGTCTCTTCAACCAACGTGAGCCTAGTGGAGTATTTGGTTTGCCTTTAAGCTTACCGACTAGGTGTTTCTTTATGCTACTGCAGTAATGGTCCATCCGTTTCGCCAATGTATTCGTTCACTCACGCTTTACAAGAGATCAGATTAATCATTCCAGAACCCATGAAATCATTTTGTCAACCGTTAGAGCACTAGGCGCACAATGGACACTGAGACATAAGGGACCAGCCTTTGAAGTATAAGTTACCATCCTCGCGCAGGAGTCGGTGCGAGGATGGTAACTTCTACTTCTTCAGCGAGTAGAACTGTCAAAGTATTCTGAATAAATTACATAATACCAAAAATGAACCATAGGAAGAAATGGCTCGTAATCAGGCGTGATCCTACACAGTATTTAAGACCGATATTTTAATGTGAGAGGCAAATTACGTTTCTATGGGAATTCTGAACGGTTGATGGAATTGGAAAATTAGGATTAAAAAACGAAGAATTTTAAAGAAAAAACTGCCACTCTTTATTAATCCGCAAGACCGACTATCTGTCAACCTCGGCATTGTTCAAGTAATACATTACATTCTAGATAAGCAAGGACGAAGTGTCACTTTACTCTTTATTGACGGTTATGCTGGTATTTCGGTGGGTAGCCCCTTCTTGAGAGCCTGAAAAGGCCAAGTTGACTGCAATCTACCTGGCTAAACACTTCCATAACCGGGCAGAAATTTACTAAACCAAAATTTTAACCGTATTGCTTTCTATAAGTCTTCTCTTGATTATTTCACGTGGAGACCAAGCGCACAGAGTCTACACGGAAGCGTAATATGCCCCTCAAATTAAAATATCAGTCTTAAACACGGTGTGAGATTACGCGTCATTACGAGGCATTCCTACCCGCGGTCCACTTTCGGATTCTTGGAATTTATCCAGAATGCCTCAAAAATTCTGCGCCCTGGTGTTTCCGATTTCTGTGCTAAGATAGTGAGTTTTACTTCAAAGTTTTTCCTCTTGTTCCTCTGCATCTTATGCACCCCTGGTGGAGTGTTTGGTTAAACTTTCTACCTACCCGCTAGATGTTCTTCTATACGACCGTAGAGTGCTCTGCCTATTTTCGGCAACATATTCGCCCCTCACGCTTTACAAGAGGTCAGATAAAGCGTGCTGGAACTCATGCAATACTGTCTCTACCGTTAGAGAACTAGGAGCTTATAGTACAGAGAGGCATAAGAGAGAAGGCGAAGGCTTTGACATAGAGGTTACCATCCTCGCACAGGAGTCAAAACTTCGGGGAGTAAAACTCTCAAGCATTCTGAATAGAATACAAGACACCCGAAAGTGAA